TCAGACTGCATCAGACACATTACTGGGAGTATTATTGCTGTGGAGCTCTGTTATACACTCAGACACATTACTGGGAGTATTATTGCTGTGGAGCTCTGTTATACACTCAGACACATTAGTGGAAGTATTATTGCTGTGGAGCTCTGTTATACACTCAGACACATTACTGGGAGTATTATTGCTGTGGAGCTCTGTGATACACTCAGACACATTACTAGGAGTATTATTGCTGTGGAGCTCTGTGATACACTCAGACACATTACTAGGAGTATTATTGCTGTGGAGCTCTGTGATACACTCAGACACATTACTGGGAGTATTATTGCTCTGTTATACACTCAGACACATTACTGGGAGTATTATTGCGGTGGAGCTCTGTTATACACTCAGACACATTACTGGGAGTATTATTGCGGTGGAGCTCTGTTATACACTCAGACACATTACTGGGAGTATTATTGATGTGGAGCTCTGTCATACACTCAGACACATTACTGGGAGTATTATTGATGTGGAGCTCTGTCATACACTCAGACACATTACTGGGAGTATTATTGCTGCGGAGCTCTGTTATACATACAGACACATTACTGGGAGTATTATTGCTGCGGAGCTCTGTTATACACTCAGACACATTACTGGGAGTATTATTGCTGTGGAGCTCTGTTATACACTCAGACACATTACTGGGAGTATTGTTGCTGGAGAGCTCTGTTATACACACAGACACATTACTGGGAGTATTATTGCTGTGGAGCTCTGTTATACCCTCAGACACATTACTGGGAGTATTATTGCTGTGGAGCTCTGTTATACACTCAGACACATTACTGGGAGTATTATTGCTGTGGAGCTCTGTTATACACTCAGACACATTACTGGGAGTATTATTGCTGTGGAGCTCTGTTATACACTCAGACACATTACTGTGAGTATTATTACTGTGGAGCTCTGTTATACACTCAGACACATTACTGGGAGTATTATTGCTGTGGAGCTCTGTTATACACTCAGACACATTACTGGGAGTATTATTGCTGTGGAGCTCTGTTATACACTCAGACACATTACTGTGAGTATTGTTACTGTGGAGCTCTGTTATACACTCAGACACATTACTGGGAGTATTATTGCTGTGGAGCTCTGTTATACACTCAGACACATTACTGGGAGTATTATTGCTGTGGGGCTCTGTTATACACTCAGACACATTACTGGGAGTATTATTGCTGTGGAGCTCTGTTATACACTCAGACACATTACTGGGAGTATTATTACTGTGGAGCTCTGTTATACACTCAGACACATTACTGGGAGTATTATTGCTGTGGGGCTCTGTTATACACTCAGACACATTACTGGGAGTATTATTGCTGTGGGGCTCTGTTATACATTCAGACACATAACTGGGAGTATTATTGCTGTGGAGCTCTGTTATACACTCAGACACATTACTGGGAGTATTATTACTGTGGAGCTCTGTTATACACTCAGACACATTACTGGGAGTATTATTGCTGTGGAGCTCTGTTATACACTCAGACACATTACAGAGAGATTTCGTGCTGAACCTCCTAAATTGGGCATCCTGGAAAGTATTAATTTGTTGCTTAGGAAAAAATACCACAAACCTATGTCCCTTTACGCATACAGTGATGCCCTGACTGAAAATTAGCCTTAAATACTGTTATGCCTCTAATCAATCATCATTTTCTTCTTGGAGTAACCGGCAATCACTCAGTATTCTCTGTTTCACAGATAATATAATCATCATTTCTTTTAAGAAAGCAACTTGCAGTGTCTGTTCAGCAAATTAATAATAAAGCAGATTTAGTAAATCTTTCTCAATGGACCTACAGAAAAGAGGTGTGTTTCAAAAAATTTTCCCTGGGCTACTAGCTTGCATGGGTTGTGGGCAGGCACATGATTTACACACAATATTCCTGATCACCCAGCTGACTGGTTCTGTAACCCATTGTACCAGAGATTCTGGTAAATAGCCACGCGACTGTATGTTAAACTTATCAGCACTCCCATTGCGATAAAAGTAGTTTTTGGCATATGGTCCTCATGCCTTTATGGCTGGACATGTCCCACATGGACATCCCCAACTCTCTCTATGCTGTTTTCAGCAGGCCGTAGTGGTTATGGTGCTTGGAAAGTTCATTAATCCTCGGCTTCCGAAAGAGGGGGGCTCCATATTTAAACGATGGCTGTTGGCCAGCTGATCTGATAGCGCTAACGAAAAAGAATTCCAAGTTACATGAATACAACACCAATGGTACTTGTGCTCCAGTCACCTCTGTTGAAAATGTTTTTTTTGGACTTGCTTGACGGAGCTGGAATCAATAAAGCTAATGGTTCCATTATTTAAAGTGGTTCAATAAAAATATTCCCATTATCTGCTCAGTTACTGCACTTAGTACAGAACAAGACGCCCGCGGCATACAACTACTTGTCGCAGTGTTTCAGAGATGGATGGCTTTACTTATAGTTAATGAGTCTATTCCTTCAAGCTGTTATATTAGGAATATTATATGTCTCTGGCTGCAGAGAGGTGATTATTTTGCAGTTTATAGTTGAAAATCTGATAATTTTGATTAGTGGTTTCAGGGTACTAGCCCTCCTTCCCCACCCATTGACACTTCGGATGATGTAAAAATCACTACATCTTGCCTTACCAATGAATCCAAGCTTTTCAGTCCTTGCCTCGAATAGGAAATGTATTTTTAATGTGACACTGCAGGAACCAACAAAACTTTTACGCATATTATAATGTTCGGTCTAAATAAGCTGTATTTTTTTTGCCTGCCCAATTTAGGATAGCTGTGTGGAAATTTACTATAGCATTCTGCAAATTAACCTGATCTCCTCTGTACCGTTGGCGATGTTGAAGTAACCACAAATGGCCTACCATCTTTTAATTATAACTAAAACCAATCTTTGTGTAACCATATTTTCAAGATGGCCTCTGCTTGGATGCAGAGCAGGCATCACTTTCCCATGATTCCCTTTGCTAGCGTGGGACTTTTGAAAGAGACATAAGATGTCAGGCCATGCCATAGCAGCCTTTAACAGCAGTATTTAAAGGAATAGCAGTATTTAAAGGGACACTATAGGCACACCAACCACTACATCTCAGTGGAGTGGTCTGGGTGCCATGTCCCTGCCGTTTTAACTCTACGGTGTAAACGTTTGCATCATGCAGGGTTTAAATGCTAATGTGACTGCCTCACTGACACCCACTAAAGGAGCTTTCTCTGAAATAACTGAATAAAACAAATTTCAATCAGATTTCTATGGAAAAGCATTGGATTGACTTTTTTCTTCCACAAAGAGGGAGGAAGGGAGCTTCAACTCTTAACAGTGCACTACAGCATTAGGAATACACATCTGTGCTGCTAACCCTATAGTGTTCCTTTCATTATAGGAATCACCGGACATTTAGAATTTGCATCACATGTCAGGAAGTAGCAGAATGACATTGTAATTGATGTAAAGTCAGAAAAGAGTAAAATCTGTCAAAGTGCATGTTATGGTGTTGTGACACTGACAGCAGACAGTTCTTGATGAGATCATTATATTAATAATATTTGCGTAGAGATGCACTGTCACATTGTTTTTTGTTGCCTTAAATATAAAATAATAAAACATATCTCCATTGTGCTGGTATACACATTACTTTTATTCCACTTATCTTTAAAGCACTCGGGTTACTACAAATATTCAGAAGACACATTCAATCACCCGCATGTCATTCTCTTATACAATAGCTACTTAAATAGTTCACTAGATAAGAAATGAATGATCCTGGATACCGAAATCAAACACAGCTTTGCTGAAAAGATGCTGATAATCTGAAGAACCTGTAAACATGGGAGTGATGGGGCATTATTTAATTAATGTTATTTACTCATCCAAATGTCACACTGCTAACCGTGACACATCTTATTTAAATGGGCTCTCCAGGCAGACAAGGGA